GTATTTTTTTTTTTTATTTATTTATTTCATCTTTTAATTACTTCTGTAAATGATAGTACCGTATTTCATGGCTTATAAGATGCTCCGAAGCATTAGACGCATCCCAATTTAGAAGGTAATAATCAGAAAAAAAGAAGTTAAAGAGTTCCTAATACCAAGTAATATTTACTCCTATGGTAATTTTACATGCAGAAATAGGTTTACGTTTGATTTATGGGTAGGTCAAAACATACGATAGGCCTAGTGCTCACCTGAACACCCCAATGATCTCTCAATTTGAACTGGTGAAACAGTTGCTGGTGGCTTAGTTGCTGCTGTGTGCACAACTCTATATAGTGGGGGTCCCAGAGTGCATACTAATGTGTCTCTGTCAGTGACTATCAGTATAAACAAAAATGGCTGCTTCAGCTGTTGTACTATAACATATGGTAAATATGATTACTGGTACCTGGTAATAAAGGAAAAATACGCAGCATGTGCTAACGATAGCGTAGTATACGGTGGCATTATTTTAAAGTGCCTACCATAATGATACTGCTTTGTGACTTCGGTAGTTTAAGAAATAAGAAAGGAAGGTGTTACTTAAGGAGGAATTTTGTTTTCTGTCAATATCCCAATACAGTATGTGTATTTCATAAATAGCTTGTCTCAAAATGTTATTAATTTACTGTAATTTTGAAACACTGGACTTGTTTTAGTTTCAATGGCTCGGCATTGGGCGTAACTGGGAGAGTTACAGCCCACCCCACACCCTAGACTTATAGCTCCTTTCACTGACCTTCGGTTTTATGGGAAGCAGGGTGGTTTTTGGAGACAATTTATGGAAAAAAATGCGCCAGATAAGCCAGGGAAAATACAGTGGACCCCCGCATAGCGACCTTAATCCGTGCAAGAGGGCTGGCTGTTATGCAAAAATGTTCGGTATGCGAATGAATTTCCCATAAGAAAATAATGGAAATCAAATTAATCCATGCAAGACACCCAAAAGTTTGAAAAAAAAATTTTACCACATGAATATACATTTTCCTACACACAGAGAGAAGGATACATGCACAATAGTTTGAGTGTACATGCCAATATATTGTGCATGTACTACTCTACTAAATGAAGAATAAATGACACTTACCTTTATTGAAGATGCAGCAATGACTGATGAGACACTGGGGTCCTGGGGGTGCCTTTTCCTCCTGAGTACTGTAGGTCCTGTTTGGTATTTTCTTCCAGAACAGGCCTTATCACACTGTGTATGTCACTACGATTCTTAAATCTCTCAAACCAACCTTTGCTGGCTCTAAATTCACCACACACTGGTGTGGGTTGCATCCTGGGAGACAAGATTAAGGACCCCAATGGAAATAAGTTAGACGTCTTCGATGACACTGACTTTTTTGGGGGTATCCTGGGTGGCAAATCCTCTGGGGTTAATTGTTTCTTGGTATTCTCAATAAGCCACACCAACAACGGTGCTACAGCAGCAGCAGCAGCAGCTGACGGTGGTACAGCAGCAACAGACGATGCTACAGCAGCAGCAGACGATGCTACAGCAGCAACGACGATGCTACAGCAGCAGCAGACGATGCTACAGCAGCAATGACGATGTTACAGCAGCAGCAGACGATGCTACACAGCAGCAGCAGCAGAGATGATGCTACAGCAGCAGCAGCAGCTGACGGTTTGGTACAGCAGCAACAGACGATGCTACAGCAGCAACAGACGATGCTACAGCAGCAGCAGACGATGCTACAGCAGCAACTGACGATTTTTACAGCAGCAGCAGACGATGCTACAGCAGCAGCAGCAGCAGACGATGCTACAGCAGCAGCAGCAGCTGACGGTGGTACAGCAGCAACAGACGATGCTACAGCAGCAACAGACGATTGCTACAGCAGCAGCAGACGATGGCTACAGCAGCAACTGACGATGTTACAGCAGCAACAGACGATGCTACAGCAGCAGCAGACGTCCCTTACGCAGCAGCAGACGATGCTACAGCAGCAGAGTTGATGCAAACAGCAGCAGCAGACGAGCTACAGCAGCACCAGATGATGCTACAGCAGCAGCAGACGGTACTACAGCAGGAGCAGCTGCGGTGGTCAGCAGCAGCAGCTGACAGTGCAGCAGCAGCTGACGGTGATACAGCGCAGCAGCAGCTGTACCACCAATAGTAGCGATGGTGATTGGGGTTTATTATACCCCTGGCCAGCTCGGAGACACGCACTCCACTTTCATACTTATCAATGATCTTTTTCTTCATCTCCATAGTAATTCTCACCCTATTGCTGTAGGGTTGGCACTAGAAGCTTTCTTGGGGCCCATGGTCACTTATTTTCCAGAAAAAAATCACCAAAAACACTGTAATAAAACAAAATGTTCCGATTGTATGCTTGGATGTTACCGCGGAGGCTGGGTGGTAACAATGCCACCCGCGGAACATGTGAGGTGGCTCAGGCCGCACATTGGACGGGGTCTCGGACGAAGGCCGCTGAGCGGGTTTTTGGGC